GGGTTAAGAGTGCGGGCGACTGAAAAAGGTGGGAAAAGAGTGGCACTTTCAGTTTTCTTGAGACCATCAACCTTTTTCTCCTCATTGTCCTTCTTTCCGTCATTTACAGGAGTGGGTCGAGGCTTCCTTCTAATGAATGGCCGTCTACTGCCAACATTGAAGTTAAATCTGGGTTTGAATGTAGTAACCTTGATAGTGGTTGAAGTTGGTGGCGTTGGGGTTGTGAAAGTTGTGGGTGCTGGTGTCAGAAAATCATTTTCATCGGGGATGGTTGTCAGATCTTCTTCAGGGGAAGCAGTTGTAATCCTTGGTCTCTGGAAGGATGGGAATTTAGGTCTCCTAGGTCTTTCTTGGACTGTTATTCTTTGTGGTGCTCCAGTGGTCTGGAAAGCTGGGATTTCAGGCGTTGTTGTTCCTTGGAAAGATGGAATTCTAGGAGCTGGAGTGCCTTCGAAGGGTGTAATCCGTGGTGCATCAGTTGTTTGGAAGGATGGAAGCTGAGTTGCCCCTGTTGTCTGGAAAGATGGATTCTGGGGTGCCCCTGTAGCCTGGAAGGAAGGAATCTGAGGTGCTCCTGTTGCCTGGAAGGATGGAATCTGAGGTGCTCCTGTTGCCTGGAAGGATGGGAAGTTAGGTGTAGAGGTTCCTTGGAATAATGGTATTCTTGGGGAAGAATCAAAAGGTCTTGGGGAAGAATCAAAAGGTCTTGGGGAAGAATCAAAAGTCTTGGGGAAGAATCAAAAGGTCTTGGGGAAGAATCAAAAGGTCTTGGGGAAGAATCAAAAGTCTTGGGGAAGAATCAAAAGTCTTGGGGAAGAATCAAAAGGTCCTTGGGGAAGAATCGAAAGGTCTTGGGGAAGAATCGAAAGGTCTTGGGGAAGAATCGAAAGGTCTTGGGGAAGAATCGAAAGGTCTTGGGGAAGAATCAAAAGGTCTGGGGAAGAATCAAAAGGTCTTGGGGAAGAATCAAAAGGTCTGGGGAAGAATCAAAAGGTCTTGGGGAGAAATCGAAAGGTCTTGGGGAGAATCGAAAGGTCTTGGGGAAGAATCGAAAGGTCTTGGGGAAGATCGAAAGGTCTTGGGGAGAAATCGAAAGGTCTTGGGGAAGATCGAAAGGTCTTGGGGAAGAATCAAAAGGTCTGGGGAAGAATCAAAAGTCTTGGGGAAGAATCAAAAGGTCTTGGGAAGAATCAAAGGTCTTGGGGAAGAATCAAAAGGTCTTGGGGAAGAATCAAAAGGTCTTGGGGAAGAATCAAAAGGTCTTGGGGAAGAATCAAAAGGTCTTGGGGAAGAATCAAAAGGTCTTGGGAAGAATCAAAAGGTCTTGGGAAGAATCAAAAGGTCTTGGGGAAGAATCCAAAGGTCTTGGGGAAGAATCGAAAGGTCTTGGGGAAGAATCAAAAGGTCTTGGGGAAGAATCGAAAGGTCTTGGGGAAGAATCAAAAGGTCTTGGGGAAGAATCAAAAGGTCTTGGGGAAGAATCAAAAGGTCTTGGGGAAGAATCGAAAGGTCTTGGGGAAGAATCGAAAGGTCTTCGAAAGGTCTTGGGGAGAATCGAAAGGTCTTGGGGAAGAATCGAAAGGTCTTGGGGAAGATCGAAAGGTCTTGGGGAAGAATCAAAAGGTCCTTGGGGAAGAATCGAAAGGTCTTGGGGAGAATCGAAAGGTCTTGGGGAGAATCGAAAGGTCTTGGGGAAGATCGAAAGGTCTTGGGGAAGAATCAAAAGGTCTGGGGAAGAATCAAAAGTCTTGGGGAAGAATCAAAAGGTCCTTGGGGAAGAATCGAAAGGTCTTGGGGAAGAATCAAAAGTCTTGGGGAAGAATCAAAAGGTCTTGGGGAGAATCGAAAGGTCTTGGGGAGAATCGAAAGGTCTTGGGGAGAATCGAAAGGTCTTGGGGAGAATCGAAAGGTCTTGGGGAGAATCGAAAGGTCTTGGGGAAGAATCAAAAGGTCTTGGGGAAGAATCAAAAGGTCTTGGGGAGAAATCGAAAGGTCTTGGGGAAGAATCGAAAGGTCTTGGGGAAGATCGAAAGGTCTTGGGGAAGAATCAAAAGGTCTTGGGGAAGAATCAAAAGGTCTTGGGGAAGAATCGAAAGGTCTTGGGGAAGAATCAAAAGGTCTTGGGGAAGAATCGAAAGGTCTTGGGGAAGAATCAAAAGGTCTTGGGGAAGAATCGAAAGGTCTTGGGGAAGAATCAAAAGGTCTTGGGGAAGAATCAAAAGGTCTTGGGGAAGAATCAAAAGGTCTTGGGGAAGAATCGAAAGGTCTTGGGGAAGAATCGAAAGGTCTTGGGGAAGAATCAAAAGGTCTTGGGGAAGAATCAAAAGGTCTTGGGGAAGAATCAAAAGGTCTTGGGGAAGAATCAAAAGGTCTTGGGGAAGAATCGAAAGGTCTTGGGGAAGAATCGAAAGGTCTTGGGGAAGAATCGAAAGGTCTTGGGGAAGAATCGAAAGGTCTTGGGGTGGAGTCAAAAGGTCTCGGAGAGGAATCAAAAGGTCTTGGGGAGAAATCGAAAGGTCTTGGGGAAAATTCAGGCACTGAAGGTAATGGCCTAGGGGTCAGCTGAGGAGCTGGTGTGATTTCAGAGGGTCTTGATGGAGTTGTTGGTGACGTGATTAGTGTTGGTCTTGGAGTGGTTACAACTGGCCTTGGTGTAGGTCTAGGGGACGGAGATGGTGTTGGTCTCGGCGAACGGAAGGGATCAGGGAAAGGTCTTGATGATGTCTGAGATACTAGCTGGGGTCGGGGAGTCGTCCCCAAAACAGAATTAGGTGTGGTTTGACGGAATGTTGTAGGAGCTGCAGTGGTGGTTGTGGGGAAGGGTGATGGACTGGGTCTTTCTGGAAGGACAGGGGGTCGTGGGGTGATTTGTGCTGGTCGAGGTGACGGCTGTGGGGAAGGTAGTGTTGGCGGCCGTGGAGAAGGCTGTTGGGGTATCCTAGGCTGGAAGGGATTTGGTGGGAAAATGGCCGGGAAGTTTGGTTGAAAGCCATTAATTGTAGGGAAATCAGGCCTGATGGGTTGTTCTCTAAAGATAGTCTGGTTCTGGTTTGGACGTGGAGGAAGAATCGGCTGTCCTGGCTGAATGACTGGTTGCCCAGGTTGTGGGAAAGGTTGACCTGGTTGTGGGAATGGCTGCCCAGGACGTGGGAAAGGTTGGCCAGCTTGGGGGAAGGGCTGTATTGGTTGTCTAAATGGTTGCCCAGCTTGTGGGAACGGCTGACCAGCTTGTGGGAAAGGTTGATTAGGGCGAGGGGGAAACTGGCCCGGACGTGGGACTGGTTGACCTGGTTGAATGAATGGCTGACCAGGCTGAGGGAAGAGTTGGCTTGTTTGAGGGAATTGCTGTGCAGCGAATCCAGTAAAAGGTGGTTGGCCTGGTATGGAGTTGAAAGGACGTGGCTGATTAGGATTTTGGGGGAACTGCTGGGGGAAAGGGAATGGCTGGCGAGGAGGGAACGGCTGTGGCTGGGAGGCTGTAGGTCTGGCCTGGACTGGAGGTCTAGTGGTGGGCAATGGACTAGGTCTGGGAGTGGTCGTTGGGGAGATCGGCTTTGCTTCTCCCTGTGGAATTGTCTGGATTGATGGTTTGCTTTGGGGTGTTCCAAGAGATTTGGCATCACGTTCATCTTGTGCCTGGAAGTTTATGGAAGCATCTGGTCGGGTAAGGCCAGGGAAGGGCGAGAGGGCAGGGCGTCCAGGTTGGAAGCTTGGCCCAATCTGAGAATTTGGGACGACCACAGGGATATCCTGTGACAGCTGGTTCACACCAGGAGGAAGGTCAAACTTAACAAATCCTGGAGGTGGACTGCGGTTATCGGGAGTGAGGAAGGTAGGAGGAAGAGGAGCAGCACCTCTTGGGTCTTGTGCGCCTGAGCCACCTTGGGGAACTAGAGGAATCTTTACATAGCCAGGGGGTGGTGGGACATGTGAAGGGGCGATGAACACTCTTGGTAGACGTCCATCCTGTTGGTTCACGGTGGCCTCTTGGGATGAAGTAGACAGAGCTGTCTCCAATAGACGCAGCTTTTCTAATGCATCTCCCTCCTTCCCCTGGGCAGTTACCAGAGACATAGGCAAAGCATTATTTACTCCTCCTTGCACAATTCTTCCTTCGTGATCACGCTTCTGCTTATCTGAAAACTCAATGCTCTGGATGGCTTGAGGAGCAGGTGGAGGAGGAACAACATCTAGGGATTCTACTCTTTGAGGGGCTCGGGATGTTGGTATGATGCGGGCCGCGTTTGCTGAACTCAGCTGCTGTATAGATCCTTCAGGAAGATAGACCAGCTGCACTCGGCCTCCCTGCTGCTTAGACGTCGGGGCAGGGGAAGTGCGAGCGGGGGGGAAAGTTGGTGCCGGGGAGCTCTGTGGAAGGGGCACCAGGGAAGCTTTCACCGCTCCTGTCTTCGTGGATTTCGGTAACTTTATGGGTATAACAGGAGCGGCCTGAAGGACACGGCCCTGGCGGCATGTCGGGCAAGGGGCATGGATTGGCTGCCATTCACTGAAGTCCCATGACAGGTCATCGGGCCGACCTGCACATGCAGTCACCAACACAGCTATCACCAACCTGAAAAATCACACAGATTATGTTGCTATTGATTAACAGACACATGGAAAAATTATAAATATTTATAATGGAAACAGTATATGAATATTTAGAAAGAACATGGAAAGAGAGGATTATTTTCATTTTACTAGTCATTTTCTTATCAACAAATTTTATGTTAACGGTAAAGTATGTTGTAATGTACAAAATCTAAAATAACGCAAATTATAAGGCCACACTATGGGAATATTGTTCGGTGAATGGGTTCCACGACACGAGGGAAGATGAACAAAAAAGCTGTCACAGTGGAAAAGAGCAGATCGTCAGATATCATGCACCATAAATGAAGAACACCGAGAATATACATGTTTGTCGCATCCTATCTTTCACCTGAATCTGTTTATCATAATTCCACATACAAGTGACTCAATCAAGCCTTTCCCCCGCG